TTCGGAGCTCGAGACCACTCATTTCCCTTTGAAAAGCAAATGTGCTCCTCCTTTTTCCAATTTCCCTATTGATTATTATTTAACACTAGCTAGTGTAGTTACTATAAGTCTATAACCACGAATCTTCCCGAGTTTTCTTTCTTTACTGTTCTCTAATTTTCTTCTTTACCTGGGTTATAATATTCCACCATGCGATTAACTGAACATAGCCTGCTTTACTTTGTACGTATACGAGACATTAAAAACCCTTATTTTGTAGTATCATGTTAGCGATATTTTTCTTCGGCCACAAACTATCATGCAATGTATCCATGATAATGAAATCAAATCTAGCTAAAATCATGTTACCTCATGAAGATAGAATCCATCAATAGGTTTTACGAAAACAAGACGACTTATATATCATCGATGGAATGTATGTTGGACTCCGTAGGGTAATAGTTTGCGAATTTCACCAAAGTGGTCTAAAGGGAAATACGTACACTAAGCTAATAAAAATTCACCTAAGACTTGGTAGCTTTTAAATATCCTTTTGTTTCCGACATGATTAAAGGTTTTAAATGGTACATATGATAAAGAAAAAAAAGGGAAAAAAATAGTGATCTACACTTTCATCTTTGGAACACGGCCACTTGATAAAAATAAAATGCTTTTTTTAGGTGAGTACGTAAAAGAGAGAGTAATGCGTAGGAACTAGGAAACGAGCAGAGATCATATATAGGAAGGTGTATAACTAGGAAGAATTAAATAGTTCACATGGAAAGAAAAGCAAATTATATTCCGACATTGAGTGACGGCTATGCACGTGAGGTTCACGTGGCCTTCGAATGGAGACGATGCTAAAATTCACCTTATCTACTGTACTTTGGTTGCAGGTTCAAAAACAAAACAAAACAAAAAAGTAAGATAATAATTAGGACTCAAAGTGTCAAAATGTTTCACGTAACTCTAAATTGTTTTCTACCAGAAAACGACTTGACGGTAAGAGAAAAAAGATTATAGTTAAGCGAAATTATGAATTAGTTTTATAAGACCAATGTTTTGATAGCGAACACAAGATAATCTCTTTATAGAATTCCGTATCTATAATATTTTGAATACAAACTTTTTGATTTTCTCGAGTAATTTTAGTTCTGATTTTTCTTCATCCAATATCGCGATAAAAGCTTTTTTAGTTTTATGTCCCCCCTTATCTTTTTCTAACCATTGGAGGAGGACACATCATACAACTCACATATGTAAAAGTTTTTTTTTCAGGCGTACAAACATTTTTATATATTTATGTAAATGGTGTACACTGTCGGGCCATCATTCTGTCTCTTGTAAGTTATAACGTCACATCCTCAAGTTTGAAGCACTTAATGCAAGGTTATATCTCACCTCGAACGTGTTTTAGTGAAAACCTAATTCGTTTTTATTTAATCAAGAAATTATGGGTTTAAGTTTAGGTCAATAATTTTGTTTAGATCGAATAATAGATCAACAAATAAAACTAGTCATTATCGGTTAATGAATTCGTAATCTTCAATACTTTTTTTCTTTATTGTTAGAGGATACACCAATTAGACTACCGACGATGGTTAGCTGCTAATTAGATATCAATATGTATTATATATGAAAACATACTGTATGGTCTACAACATATATAGATCATATACGAGATAAGATAAGAATTATAATCGGCAAATTCAACAACTTTAGTCTTATTCATGTCGAGATAAGATAAGAGCCATAATTAGCAAATTTCAACTACTTTAGTTTCATTTATGTGAAGATGGAGATGTGGAATCATAGGACTCTTACAAAATATCATTTCGGAATATAGGTTTTATTTCTTCATTTGCACAAAATAAATAAAAATATTTGAAATGTAAAAATAAGATGACGAAAGAAGGAAAGTGGGTGACAAAGACAAGTTCCACGCAAGTGAATGAGTGATGGAAAGTGAAGAGGTCACATGGGACTGCTTTCTGATTGGGCTTACGTGTCGTCTCCCTAATAATTTTTTTCTTCGGACCACGCTTCTCCTTTTGCCACGTGTCCACTCACCTTCCCCTCCTTCTCCGGGCCTCACCTTCCTTCATATTCCCATCTTTGACTTTAGATACCGTTTCTTTCTGTTTTCATTTTGTCACTCTAAATTTTAATTGGTTATTTTCTTTAGTTCAATGAATTGGTTATTGATTAGTAACATTAAAATATACGGATTGGTTATATTTATAGTAAAAATGAAATTATGTATAAATATAAAGAGCGTTTACGATGATGTACACAGCTTCATTTTTTGTTTGTTATCGATAAATCAGTTTTAAAATCTTCAATTTTCGAATAAAATTTACGGTTGTTAAAGAGAAACTTGACTTTTACTTCGATCAACATCCATGACAATGTTTATATTGACATTAAATGGGTAGATGTTGCTAGTTAAAGTTATTTTATTGACATGTGTAACGTATGGATCGTTAATTTAAACTTTAAACCTATGGTCCCTAAACGATATATATATATATGGATACGATTTGGAGTTTGCGTAAGTTTGTTTACTACCGTCTTAATATGGGATTCAAGATAAAAGAAAAAAGTGGTAATTAATGTGAGATAGGGATTCAAACCCAAGCATCAATGTCAAACCCTAGTTTTAAAGTAACGATAAAATCAAGGGTACAGTCGTCGTCAATTAGGGTTTCTTTCTTATATGTATTAAGACTATATAGAGTCTAGCTAGAGATATATGCATACATAGCAAGAAGACGAAAAAAGTGAAAATCATTAGTATAAACTATGTGAAAGAAGATGCGCATATGACCGGGATAGATTCCTTTTCTCATATGCTTTTGAGTTGGGACTTACGATTTATTTGTCCTTTTTAATTCTATAATAAGCTCTTTAGATAAAGTAATCCGACTTAATTATCACTAAAGCAAAATGATTAAAAGAATTAAATGTCATGTTTATCCCAACATTTGCCTTCCTTGTTTCCCGTACTTCCAACTCTCTAAGTGCTTTGCGTAACAGATAGATAATTGGGTAGAAAGATTCCATACGTTTTTGCTTTCTTTAATCAAAAGCTTATCTATCAATTAATCAACAAATTCGTACTCTTATGTCTTAACTATCGTATTATATAATATATGTGATGAAAAACAAAACAAAACTATCGTATTATTATATATTCTGATTGTGCTGGCGACTGATTATAAAAGATTCCATACGTTTCTGTTTTGTTAATACCTGACTGTGATTTTCAATATAAATGGTTTGTACTAAGTTAAATAAACCATGTTTAAAGTCCGGAGATATTTTTTTCTTAACTAAATTGAAATATAAATTTAGTTGCAATTGGATCGGTCCATGTTATTATTTACAATTCAGCAATTTAGAAGAAAAAAATAAAGTCGACAATGCAAGAAAATAATCCGAATGTCACTAAATTAATGAGAAGTACGTAGATGAAACTGGCCAATAGCGACCCCTAAGTTACGCCACAATTTAGGGGATTGCTTAGTAATAATTAATTAATTCTCAAATGTAATTTTCTCGGAAATCTTACCCAGGGGATGTTTTTCTTTTTTTGGCTAAAATTATCAAACAAATAACCAAGTAGTAGTTAAAAACGTCAAAATTAACCAAACCCACTGTTCATAGATAATTAGTCGGATGATCCTTGAGAGACAAAATACGGGGTAAAAAAAGAGTCAGAGTTGAACGTTTCTAAAATATTAAATAAATCTCAGAGTTAATTATTCTAAAAATCTTGGTGACCCCAACAAAAAAATATATATTCTAAAAATCTGAGAATTAATTATTTTTAAAATTATGTAGTCTACAATTGGAACAACGTAACATTTCATTTGCAAAACCGTTTCCGGTATTTACAATATGTAAACTATACCCTTTCTTTTAATGGTTCAGTCAGTTATTATATTTCACTATATATACACAGTAGCATCATTTTTATTACTATTAACAATATTTTATTTCTCAAAGGAAACTCAACTTTTTTTTGAAACGTTATCGACTACCGTAAAGTTTAAACCTAATTAATTAAGAAACATCACCGAGAAAATTAAAGCGTTCTACTTTTTGGTGATTTAGATACTAATATTGGTTTAGAAGATAATAGTTAGATAAACGTTCACAATCCCTTAAAATCAAGAAAAAAAGGTAGCAAAATCGATAGGTCACGTGGATCCACATCGTCCGCTCGTATAAATATTACTTCGAGCTGTATTCTTGTTTAGGCCTATTCTTGTTAAACATCGTCCTCTTGTGTATAATAAACATGGACCAACTTTAAGCACATGATAACAAGTTAACAACTTATATTAACCATTAATACAGAATAAGAGTTTAA